TCCCCCCGCCCCCGTGCTCGTTCGCTGTGTCTGAACAGACCCGCCCCCAGCCTCCCCGCAACACGGGGAACCAGGCGAATGTCTGCACCCACATAAAGGAGCGACCCAAATCGGGAGGCCTGGCACTGAGGGACGTGGTGGCCTCCGTGGGGCAGATTTTTGGATCATCAGTGCTTCCTATCGAAACCTTTATAATCAGAGGGGAAACTGAGGGAAGGCGTTTGCACGTACCCAGGCGTGGGGCAGGCAGTCTGGCCCGTACGTGAGGGGACGTGAAGTTTATGCTGAAACAGCCTGTTTGTGGCCCAACAGACACACACTGTCCATCTGCTTTAATCATTAAAGAGAAGAGTATGTTGACTATGTTGTCCGTGTTAAAAATAAAGACGAAGCGCCTCCCTTCCCGGGGCCCCAGTGCGGGTCCTCTGTTGATGAAACGCCCTTCCCAGGCACCAAGGCCGCGCTGACTCACTGCGTACGTGCTGGCCTGTTTCTTCTTGAAACTCTGAAGGAATGTACGCCTGACTTGTTTGATGTCCTTTGTTCTGACAAGACATACAACTGTGCTCAGAGCCCGGCTTCTCCGGCGCGGCCCCTCGGAGCCGCGAGGGGCTGGCCGGGCCCGGCTGGAGCAGCGCCCCTCTCCTCCTGTGCGGGCCGCGCGTTCTGCCGGCCGGCGCCATGGGCCGGGGGACCTGGAGACGGCGTCTCCGGTGCTCCGCCGGCTTTCCACCCCGTCGCGTCGGCAGCCAGCGATGACCCTGGCCTCCGTCAAGGATCACTGTCATGGTTGCAGATGGAGTTCTTCCGGTTCTGCCCCCCACCCCCTGTGTTTATTAGCTGCATTCTTCCGTGGGGACGAACGTTCCTTCCCCCCCTGACATCTGGGTTCGGTCCCTCGATTCGGTCGGAACTGGCTCTGTGCTGGTTTAAACTGGATCTCCCCCCCGGCCGTGACCCCTCGGGCTCTCTCCTCTGGGTGCCGTTTGCTCCCAGCTTGGCCCTTTTTCTGTTCAGTTGCTTGCCTTCCTCGTGCTACCCAACAGTTCCTTACAGAGCCCGACTCAGGACCCGCGGGGCGCTGGCTCCAGGGGCCCGCAGACCCCCAGATCCCGGGACGCTGACATCCCCTCCATGAAAGTCTTTGCAGATAACCTTCACACCTGCTCCCATGTACTTCAGATCATCCTGAGGACCTCTCACAATACCTGACACAATGCAAATGCTGTGAAAGGAGTTGTAAATAAATGTAAATGCTACTTCACAAGTTGCTGGCTTGCAGCAAACACAAGCTTGGCTTTGGGGAACTTCCTGGGATTTTTTTTCTGAGTATTTTCAACCCGAGGTTGGTCGAACCCCGAGACGCGGAGGGCTGACTGCTGACTCTTCATCAGTGATGTGTGCTGCAAATCTCTGCTCCCGAGACACGGCTTGAATTTTCACTCACGACTTCTTTTGACGTAGAGAGGTTTTTTGGTTTTGTTTTGCTTTGTTCTTGTTGACTTTATCAGTCTCTTGTTTTGTGGTTTGTGGGGTTTGCGTCTCATTTACTGCGTAACGGTCCCTGACAAGATAGCTTTCTGATCAGTCTCCTGTGGTCTTTTTCCTGCAAGCGCAAATGTCTTCTTTCCCAGACGGAGGTCTTCCAACGGGCAGAGCCGGCCCCCGGTGGCGGGCGGAGGGAGGACCGTGCTTACATTCACTTACTCTCCGGGGATGTGCAGCTGTTCCTGCTGTAAAGGAACGCTGCCCACCACCCGGTTCTGCCCACAGTGCACCCCGAAAGGAATCCAGGGCGGAGATCAGGAACGAGGCGCTCCGTGAGCTGGGAAAACAGGCCGAACAGGCCCTCAGAGAGTGAGGTGTTTTCAGGAGGCAGTTTATGAACCCGGGTTCTCGCATCTTCTTTCCACACTTAGAAAAGCACCAATGTCATTAACTGAGACCTGTCCCTCGTGACCAGCAGCAGCCTCCCGGTGAGGTGCGCGCGCGACGGCACGTTCCCCTCCCCCCAAATCACATGTGCCCCGGCCCCCCGCAGCCCACCCCTCCCGGACGGTCCTCAGAGCTGGCTGGGAGGCTGTCTCCCTGGCCAAAGTTCTGAGCAAGACCCCCGAACACAGCTGAACTGCAGCTCTCGCGTGGTGCTTCTCATTGCTGTGCACACAGCCCACCCTCTGCCTGTGTTCTCCTGGCGCCGCGCCTGCCCCCCCAACCCTGACCAGTCAGGCTCCCTTGTGTGTGTTTGGGGAGGGGCTCCACTCCCTTTCTGTGTCCCAGGGGCTTGGAGAGCCCAGCTTCACGTGGGGTGGGTGCCTAAGCCCAGCCCTGTTTCCTCCCATCAGGATTCTGACTCAGTGTCAGTTCCTGCGTGAATCCCTGGTAGAAGGTGGTGGAGTCGCCCTGAAGCCACGGATTCCTTTAGGGGGAGGCAGCATTTTGAAGGCACTGCGCCCTCCCCTCTGGCGGAGCGGCCGCACCTCCAGGGGCAGGGGTCGCTCTGGGATTCTCTCCCAGAACGGCGTTTTATTCTCTAAGCACCGTGCGCACTTTTTGTTAGATTTATTCTTAGCAGTCGGGTGCTTTTCATGTTCCTGTTGTCAATGGCATCTTGGAACCTGTCTCTTTGCTTCTGATTTTTCAGTCTTGTGTCCACGTGCACCCATCCTGAACGTGTCCTGATGCTAACGTTCAGGGTTGCGGAGTTTCTGGAGTGTCCTTGCAGACAGTTCTAGTGCTTGTCCCTGTCAGGGGCTGGCAGACAAGAAGAAGCTGGCACTGCTGCCCGCGCCCCACCGTAAGGGGTCGCTGCGAAGGCCGTGCTCCCACCAGGCTTTGGAGGGAGCGTCTCTCAGGCTGGGGAAGCGCCTTCCACTCTTAGTCGGCTGAGAGCCTTCATGAGCTGTGCTCTGTGTCATCTACCCTTTTTTCCTGGCCTTTAAACTGTGTGTGTGTCATAGATTGTCCCATCTCTCAGTTTTCTGATATAAAACTATCTTTGCAGTAGAAAGGACCCCTTGGTCACGATGTATCTTTTAAAATCTTAGCTTTTTTTTTTTTTTTTTTTTTGGTGGGGAGATGTTCAACGGCTGGTCCAACAACTTTAAAATGAAGTCACACTATAGTGAAGCCTCATACTTAACACAGTAAGTCTGTTTCCCCTGGGGACTGGCCGTCTTCCTGCAGTTTTCAAAGACGCAGGCGTGGGGCCGCTGCGGCGGGCTCTTACCACCAGTTCATCTTGCTCGCGTGCCCTCTCTTCGCTTCGGCGTGGCTGGTGTCCCTCCCCTTCCCACCCAATTTTCATGCCCGATGCTGGACTGCCTTAGCAGTTCTCTCGAGAAACCAAGGTCTTCCCCACTCGTATTTTATGTTCTTCTTGTCCTTGCCTCGGTTCTACTTTTTTGCCCCTTTCCTGACTTCTTGAATCTGATCACAAGTCTGGGTCTTCCACACCCTTCCCTACAATAAAGCCCCCAGGCACCCCCACCGTGGGCCCCGCGGCCGCTGCCCACCTTCCGCCCTGCCTTCTCCCGCCACGCTGCACCTCGGTTTCCTCCGTGACCCATCAACTGCCCAGAAGTGAGTCCCTGCATTTCTGAACGTACGGCCAATGAACCACCTGAGCTTTTCTGGCTTGGCTGCGGAGGGGTGATCGTTTGGTGGAGACCCTCCTGTTAGAGCTTGAAATTAGCCCACATCCTCATCTACACCCGCTCCTGAAGCATTCCACACGCCGGCTCCAGTTTGGAGAAACGGCGTTCCGTCCACGCCCATCAGTCAAGCCTAACTCTCTGAATCTCGCTGCGGCGACTTCCACCCTCCTGACGCCTCCCGACCCACCCGCGACGGTGACTTGTGCCTCAGACTCTCCCACGGGCATCCGGGGTCGTTCGCCCCCCGGTGCTTCCACCATCCGTGACTCAGCCCATTCACTTTGCGTCTGCACAGTCCTGGCGCTCTGTCCCCATCCACGTGTGCTGACCGCCCCTCCCCAGGGCAGCCTTTGTCCTGTCACTTCTGTGCGATGTGGAGGGACGGTGCTAGGGGTGGGTGGACATCCCCCCCGCCCCGTTTATTACATGAAGGGGCTCATCTTCGAATCACTGCGGGGAAGCAGGTTGGCTGAGCCACCGACTGCAAATAGCCCTGTCATGTGGGGGTGGGGACGCACACATGTTTATGGATGTTGGGGGATGGGTCCCTGAGAGGACAGGTGGGTGCTGAGTGCGCACCGAGCGTGTGCACATGCCTTCTGGGGTCCCAGCACCCCATGGCAGACTGGACAGGATGCTCCCTACTTCCCACCCCCCGCCGTTCTGCAGAGCCTTCCCAGGGTGGTGGGGGGCGGGGGGGCGGTTCCGGACTCTGGCAGCTTCCTCCGTGAATACTTGGCTGTGCAAGGCTCTATGTCTTGATCCAATTTCTGTGATTTATATTTTCCGTAATTCTCTCCGGTCAGGACTTTCAGACTCCTTACACAGTGAGCACTGTGTTCTCGTGCAATATAGAAAGAAGGCTGTGCTGGCCGTGGCGTCGACTGCAGCGTGCGCGCTGCCTCTCTCCCGGGGCCTTGGGTGCCTCCTGCCCCATTTCTGGGGGACATGTGGAAAGGGCCCCGCGGAGCCCCGGGCCCTGCTCCCGGACCCTCTGCAAAGGCCGGGCTCTTCTGCCCCAACCTCGCTTCAGAGCTGACTCAGGGGGCTGGGGGCTTCTCAGGGGAGCCTGGACCCCAGCGGAGGTAGAGACCCCAGTTTTGTGTGGGCTCGTGGGGTGAGGACAGAAGGGGGCTCTAGGCGTGAAAGCCCATCGGCAGAAGTGGAGGGGCTGGCCGGGCCGGCGGGCGTCCAGGCCCAGCACCCGTGGCCTGCTGCTCTCCCGAGCCGACCCCTGAGACGAGCACCCAGTGCCCCTCGGCCCCGCGCTGCAGAGACGCCCCGCCCCTCCCCCATCTGTCCCCCGCCCCCCGTGACCCCATCCACGAGCCAGCGCACACCTGGTGGAGGGGGATCTGCCAGCTTTATTCACAGACCCCAGGGGGTGAGGGCAGCGAGGACAGAGACTCGGGTGCTGGGGGGTGGGGCCGGACACCGCCATGTGGGCTGCTCCGGCCGATGGTCTCTGCCCGGGGCAGTCTCTGCGGCTTTACTTCCAGCGCCCACCGACTTTGCCCTTGGGCGTGGTCCCGGCCTTCTTGCTGCTGCAGTTGGGAAGCAAGTTGGCATTGAGCACTAGGGTGCCTGGGGCCTGGCCAGCCCCTTCCCCAGCCTCCCCCAGTCCGCAGGCCCCTGACCGCAGCGCTCTGCCGGAGCAGGAGGCTGAGCGCCAGCCCAGCCGCCGCCACTCACCTGGGCCTGCCCGGCCGGGCCTGGGCGCCTTTGTGCTGAGGCAGTTACTGAGGTTAAGGGGGTGGCGGCCCGAGCCTGGTCCACCTCCCCATCCCTTCCCCACATGCAGGGCCTGGGGCACACGCGGCCCTGAGACTGCAGGGGCCCCACTCCGGGCAGGTCTGAGCCCACTCGGAAAGCTGTCCCTGCTGGAGGTGACCATCTTCCCAGTCACTCTGGTCTGAAAAGAGCCTGCGCCCTGCGGGTCACAGCCGCCGGGGGCAGAGGGGCTGAGGCCACGGGCGGCTGTGGTCCTTTGCTCCAGGCCAGCAGTCTCAGCCCGATGGACTCGGGTCCTAGGAGGCCTCCGTCTTGCCTCAGAGTCTTGGCCCTTCGGCCACCAGTTAGAATTGGACCCTGGGGTCAGGAGGTTCCCACCCCATCTGTCTAATTCTCTCTGCACAGCAGCGAGCCAAGGGGGAGCTGGGTGGTGGGTTAGGGTGGAGTGATGGGAGGGTCAGAGCTCTTTTGGGACAACTTTGGGCTGGAATGGGCCCTGCAGCTCTCAAGACTGGCTCCAGGAGAAGGCCTGACGCTGGCGGCCGTGCCCACAGCCCGGCTCCTTCAGCAGGAGCCAGCCTGAGAACCCAAACATGCATGCACACACACACACACATGCACACACACACATGCACATGCACGCACACCCTTTGCCGAATATCAGGTTCTCAAAGGAACCTGCAAAGACTCCAGCCCCACGCATCGGGGCCCAGGAGGAGGGCGTGTCACTTTTGCCAGCCCCTCCCTGCTCCCCAGGCAAGAGGAGCCCATCCCTGGAGCAGCAATGACGCAGGGGCCAGCGGAAAAGAGGGAAAAACCCCATTAAACTTTCCAACTGCGAGCAGCCCTGGGGCCACGGCACTCCTTGGTGCTTGCACCCGCTCAGCCCCTAGGCTCGGAGACAGAGCCTCAGAGTGGGCACCACCTGAGCACAGGCTGTCCCAGCCCTTCCCAGCAACTGCTGTGATGGGCGCCCCACACCCCAGGGGTGATCGTATGGCAGAGGGCTCCCCGTCTCGAGGAACCAGTGATTTCACCCAGGCGCTCTCGGAGGAGCTGGTGACAAAGCCCAGGCCTCCAGCTTCCCTGTCCCAGGCCACCTTTGAGGTGACATGTTGCTGCGATGTCCAGGAGCCCAGTCTGGCTTTGCTGGGCCACTCTGGGCCCACCCAGAACCTCCCCGCACTGGGGGCCTTCTGCCAGCCCTCCCCCAAATCTCTGGTCCTCCTGGGCCCTGTGGGGTGAGGGGAGAAAGGAGGCTGCGGTCCAGGGGTGCGGGGCCCCGACATGCTGGCTCAGGGCACCGGCCAGTTAGTCTTGTTACTGCTCTGCTGAGGGCTCTGGCCGCCGCCCAGGCCGAAACCACCGGGCCCCTGGTGGGTGGTGGTGGCTTTCCCGGGGGCCGTGTGCCCTGCGCAGAGCCGGGCGGCGGGGCTACTCACTGCTTCTGGGCCTGGTCGATGCGGCTCCTGAGGTTGATGATCTGCGAACAACACAGATGGCTTACCTGCCGCGTCCGAGCAAGGCCGGGCCGGGCGCCGGCCCTCGCAGGCCTCGGTGCTCTTACTGGGTCCTGGCTCCTCTGTTTGGAGGACACTGTCCCTTGGCCCTCAGGACCTGTGCCTCTGACTTGCTCTTGGTGGCCTGAGCTGGAGATCTGGCCTATGACACACAGCAGCCCGGAGCTGGCCACTTACCTTCCAGCCTGCGTGCAGTGTGGAGCCGGGGGCAGGGGACGAGGTGGGCTTGCAAACAGAAGCCCTGCCTCTGGTGGCCGCCAAGCTCAGAGCCCTGCGGCCCTCCTGCACCTCGTGGCCCAGCCGCTCCCTCCTGCTGATGACCCGGGGGGAGGCGGGGGAGGCGAGGCCTCTCCCCTGCCACCAACGAGGACAGCAGGTCAGCCTCAGAAGCCCCCAGGTTGCAGGCAGGGGGGAGGAGGCGGGGCAGGAGGAGCAGGAGGAAGGCCTCCAGGGTCCCCGTGCCCCCTGCCGCCAACACTCGCAACGACCTGGGTTTTCGCCATGCGCGAGGCGGCCCGTGCATGAACACGAGAGTCTGGTCCAGGGTGGACTCCGGCTACTTACAACTTGGCCAGCATCTCCACTCTGGCCCGGACGTTCATGATCTAGAAAGACCAAGATGGTTATGGGGCTGGGTGGCTGGTGGTGGAGTCCTCGGGGCCCTGCCGGGCACTGGGCTAGCCTGGGCCAGGGCCCTTGTGGTTCCTCTAGCTCCCGGGGACCCACCGTGGGCCACGCACGGGAGTGTCAGGAGGCCTCGCGCCCCTGGCTCAGCCCTGTGGACACGAGCCGGGCCAGTCCGGGCTCTGTGAACGGGAGGCCACTTCTGAGGGCAGCATCAGCAGAGACCAGTGCTGTTCCCCACGCCTGGCCCAGCGGCCTGCAGTGATGCACGTGCCCCGTGGGTGGCCCTGGAGGGTACAGTCCTCCTTCGGGGAGGAAATTGAGGCACAGAGGACCAGGAAATGTGCCCAAGGGCACAGAGCTCGGCTGCCAGTACTGGTCGCCGGCACCCTCTGCCTCAGTGGCTGGTAGGGGAAGCTGGGAGAGGCGCCCAGTGTGCAGGGGCCTCCTGGGCACCTGGAGGAGTGTGAGGGGTGGGCACCACGCCTTTGATGGCCAGGCTGGAGGTGCCCGTGTTTCACGCAGCGGCAGGAGAGTCCCCAGGACTGCTGCCCTCTCCCCAAGCCCATGTGGACGCTGAGGGACCGTGTCTGCGCAGGGCTGCTGTCCTGAGTTGTGAGCCCCGCTCAGGGACTCCTGGCGTCCACCCCCAGGGTGCACAGTCCGCACGCCGACCCCCACAGCTGCCAGTGGGGTCGGACAGTGCCCTCAGTCTGCTCCGCGCGCGGGGCCCTCCGGGCGGTTAGGGACTGGACTTGGTTTGCAGAGGGGACTGTGAGGGGAGGACCCCCCCACCCGAGGGATGCTCAGTGCCACCCCGGGTGGGCGTGGGATGCAGGTGTCCTGCCAGCCCCGGCAACGCTCTGCCCCGCCTCCCCTCCCGCCAGCCCTGGGAGCAGGGGCTGATGGCGGCTTGCGGGATGCCCAGCCACGGCCCCCACAGGACAGGGGCCTGAGCCGGGGTCCGGGCCCGGGGATGGCCGCCAGTGCGGTGAGGCTGGGGCGCCGCACTCACATCGTATTTCTGGCGTTTCAGCTTCTCCCCCAACTCGAACTTCTCAGTCTCCAGCTTGTGCAGGGAGTCCCAG